AATTCTCAGGTGGCCTTAAAACAGGTTCTTACAAGCCCATTTATCCAACCCAGAAATTACAGTGGTGTCTGTAGAATATATGATAGGATAAAGTCCTCGGTGCTATTCAGGAGGAAAAATGCTGCCTTTAAGATTATTACAGAAAATGTTAGCATTTTGGATGGCTGCAGTGTAGAAAGAGGTACAAATCATTCAGTTTAAGACCCAGTGCTTGACAGAAACTGGTAATAAGTACTGATGTCAACTGAGAATCAATCGACTACCATTGGCAATGGGGAAAAAAAGGTCAGTCCTTTTAAGTCTCCTGAAAAGACTACTTCACTCCCCAAGGTGGATGTTCATTAATTGTTTAGACCCATAGATGACAATTTCTCTTATAACCAACTGCTTTAATAAAGAGTATTGGTTTTAATTTGGGAGGAATAATATCCTGAATGCATTCTGTTTTATTCAGGCTTTTTTCTGCCTTCCATCCCTGCATCACCAGCCAAATATCTTTGATAACAAAAATTTTTTGACATACATAAGAGATGGTTTACTTAGACCTGCTTTTGGAGCAATAAACTGGTTTAATCATTTTGGATCTGCTAATGATGTACATTTCTACTTCTTGTTGGAAGAAGAAAATTACTGCATTTTCTGTGGAGCTATTTAATTTGTTTCTGATGTTCCTATGGGTCTTAACTGAGCTTTTGAATTAAATTGTGAGGATGTTTTATTTCAACGTTTCATGTATGGAGTAAAACTTGTGATTTGCTTAAAAGCAAAAACTAGTCTGATCAGTTGTGGTTGACAAGTGGTTAGCATATTGTGAACAGCTGGCTTCGACTTGCTTCTGATGCAGGTTGCCTTTTCAAACCCTTTCTCTAATTCCTTATAGAGCTTCAGAGTTGCTTGCACAGGCAAGCTCCCAGGGAGCTGACCGATACTAGAGCTAATGGAAGTCTCAATTTCCAGAATTTCCACTGGATTAAAACCACCTCCAGGGTTTACCTGCATCCTAGCCTTGCATCTTTCTACCCTACTGTTAGCTCTGGCTTACAGCAACCTCTCTTTTGCTTCTCTGCCACTACTGCAAAGATCCAGATTTCCTTCCCTGGAAGAATGAGATTGTTGGAGCATCTTACAGATGTCCCAGCAGAATTTTTGCAACCTGAGTTAAGTGTTACTTGGCTGTTTTTTCCCTTTCATCTCCATATCTCTCTCTCTCTCTCTCTCTCTCTCTC